CTCTGCAGCAACAACATCAACAACAACAACAGCAATATCATTGTTATCAAGATCCACATAAAACCGAACAGTCTGAGGAAAAAAGATCAACGCTGTACGTGACCTTGCAACAACCGACGACTGAATTTCAACAACAGCCACCACAACTACAGCCGCCACAACAACTACAGCCACAGCAACTACAGCCACAACAGCTACAGCCACCACAGCAACTACAGCCGCCACTAGCACAGCTTCATTATCTACATCCACAACAAACACTGCTGGAGCAACAACAACAACAGCAAAAACAGACGCCAACTCAACAACAAATGTTCCTTAGTAGAACGCCATTCTCTGATGATGGTTACACCTCTGGTGTCTTTGGCAAGAAGTCAACATCAACCACACCAAGCCATGCGGACGGTGACGACATGTTGAAAACGAAACTTCCGGCTATTTGCTACGACTACGACACCAACAACAACAACATCGTCAGCAACAAAAACAACAACAACAACAACGGTAATTACTACGACTACTACAGCAGCGACGACCACAACAACCACAAAAGCTACAACAGTCACAAAAGCTACAACAACCACAACATGGTTTACACTGTTTTTAACGCGGAACACCCAAGGCTAGCAAAATTTGACATTCCTTACCAGCCAGTGCCAAAACAAACACTAGATCATTATCAGGACTCTTCTCAACAGCAACAACACCAAGAGGATTGTCATCCAACACGTTATCAAAAAAAAGAGGATTATTATCATGACTTACCTACGTACCAACAACATCATCAGCAACAACAACATCAACAACAACAACATCCTCAACATCAACAACAGACAACTGAAACAACACCAGAGATCATAGAGTTACTCAAACAAATTCAACAACAACTGACGCAACAACAACAACATCAACAACAATACTCAGACGTACCGTCACAACAACAACTGCAACAAACAACAACAAAACTTCCTGACGATGTGATAGACCATTCAGTAAATGTTTCAACAACATCAACAACAACGACAGCAACACTTAGCGACAATATTCAATCGCCAATGGCTTTTAACTTGCCAAGGTCTACAGTCTACGACTCGTCTACAGGCAGTCTACCGATAGTGTTCATCAACACGCCAGCCTCCTATTCAACAACCACAGCAAGTACTTCACTAATTATGACGTCATCGTCATTTTCATCGTCAACATCATCATCATTATCGATTATTACGTCATCAGCAGCATCATCGTCGTCATCATTATCATCATCAATTCTTTCATCATCATCATTATCATCATCATCGTCGTCTTCAATTTTATCCTCATCGCATTTGCCATCCTTATTCAAGATAAACCAAGA